AAGGCTGATTCAGGCAAATGGTGGTATGCAAATTCAAAAGGAGTACATATTTAATCATAAAAGGATCCCTTAGTCAAAGCTGAGCTCCTGTATCATACTTTGGTTTAGCAGCACTGCAGTATTCCAGTTTATTCTCTTTTTAAAAAACATAAAATAATAACACAGAATCTCAACAGAGTAGCATTTGCAAGTGTATTACATCCGTGATCTCAGGATCTTCATGACCCATTTGTCTGAACAGAATGGCTGAGCGTTTGGAGGTCCATAGTATAGAAGGAAGGTTTCAATTGGTTTGATAAAACTTAATGATGGAATAATGTTTCATGCTGTTCTCCATGTGGGACAGCACCATATGTCAAGCAATGCACTGATTCATTATTCTTGCACTTGGGAATAGGTTTTTTTTTAGTCAACTTTATGAAGAGTCTAATGTTATACATGGATTTTCAACTGTGCAGGGGATTCATGCTTTTCAATCCCCACATTGTTCAAAGGTTAACTGTATTTATATACCACAGCCTATAGTGCTATGAGACAAACCACTTCCTTTAAACAAGCTGTCACAAAGCTCCAGAGAATAGATCTTTTTATTTCCTGTGTTATCTATTTTATAGACATGTTACCTTTTTTTTTTTTTTTTTTTTTTTTTCAGACAGAGTCTAGCTCTGTTGCCCTGGCTGGAATGCAGTGGTACAATCTTGGCTCACTGCAACCTCAATCTCCTGGGTTCAAACAATTCTCCTACCTCAGCATCCTGAGTAGCTGGGATTACAGGTGCCCGTCACCACGCCCAGCTAATTTTTGCATTTTTACTAGAGATGGTGTTTCACCACATTGGCCAGGCTGGTCTTGAACTCCTGACCTCAGGTGATCCGCTCGCCTCGGCCTCCCAAAGTGCTGGGATTACAGGCATGAGCCACCGCACCAGGTAGACATGTTATCTACTTTTTTCCTAAGTAATTAAGTAATTTCATTTATCTTGGGCAAAGACAAAAATTGGATATAAATTAAGAAGGAAATACAACTGAAAAGTCAGTCAGTATAAGATAAGATGTACAATTTAAAAATCTTAGTATTCTCAAACTTTTAATAAACCAAGCTCTACTTTTTCCTTGCCTTGTACACATTCCAAGAGAACCTGAAGTTAGTAATTTACTGAAATTTTTTTTAATTTTTTTTTTTTTTTTTGAGACGGAGTTTCACTCTTGTTACCCAGGCTGGAGTGCAATGACACGATCTTGGCTCACCGCAACCTCCGCCTCCTGGGTTCAGGCAGTTCTCCTGCCTCAGCCTCCTGAGTAGCTGTGATTACAGGCATGTGCCACCATGCCCAGCTAATTTTTTTTTGTATTTTTAGTAGAGACGGAGTTTCACCATGGTGACCAGGATGGTCTCGATCTCTTGACCTCGTGATCCACCCGCCTTGGCCTCCCAAAGTGCTGGGATTACAGGCGTGAGCCACCGCGCCTGGCAATTTTTTTAAAGTTTTTATTATTAATTAATTATTATTTGAGACAGGCTGCCACTCTGTCACCCAAGCTGGAGTGCAATGGAGCAATCTTGGCTCACTGAAACCTCTGCCTCGTGGGCTCTGGTCATCCTCTCATTTCAGCTTCCTGACTAGCTGAGTAGCTGAGACTATAGGCGTGCGCCATCATGCCTGGCTAATTTTTTTCTTTTTTTGTATAGATGGGGTTTCACCATGTGGCCCAGGCTGTTCTTGACCTCTTGGGCTCAAACAATCTGCCTACCTCGGCCTCCCAAAATGTTGGAATTACAGGGCATGAGCCACTGCGCCCGGCCTAAAAAAATTTCTTGTCCACCTACAAAGTAGTATTAATTCACCTGGTGGTATTAATTCATCTTCTCACTCTTTCAGTCATCCATCAATTTGTACCAAGCCTCATATCCATCAACAAAATGTCTTTTATCTCCACAGACATTCGATCAGTGCAAGGCAGACAGGCTTCAAATCTCAAACTCATACAAGGGCAAATTTACTTTTAACATATGTATATTCAAAAATTAAAAAGCAAAACAAATTGCTCCTGGCAAGTTCAGACTCCCTCAAGGCAAGGACAGCATAAAAATGGCAGGGAGCAGTACTAAGTCATTCATGACTAAAGCTCATGAACTAACTGAACTGTACTGAACTGAACCAAGCAACACATCAGAAATATGGGGGATATACTGGCCCCACCATTTTTATTCCTTCTAACTCCAGCCACCATAGAGAGAGAAATGACTAAATCTCTATTTTAATAGCTGCTGTCAAGAGTTTTTCTCTGTAGGGCCTATTTCAGCAGTTCCTGGTGGTAATATATGGCATTTCCCTGATTAACAGCCATTTTATAACCAGTGTAATTGACCACAAATCAGAGAAATGTCATAATGTAGCAAGAAAACATTCCCATCTCCGTCATAGCCTTGGCTTGGTTTTCTAGAGGAATTATTACTTCAGTAGTTTGTGGGTTTTCATTACTTTAAATAATGCACTACCTGAACTACAAAAAAAGACATTTAAACTAACGAACATTTCTATCTCCTAATCCTTTCTACCATGCTTTTCTTTAGATTTCCCTTTCTCTTAGAAAAAACATGCCTAAACGTAATTTTTTTCTTTATTTTTATAATATCAGTGTTTATGGGGAAATAGAGGCAAGGGCAGGACTGGGGGAGCATGAGGTGATTAAGGCACTCAGCTCAGGTGCAAAATTTAAAGGTGCATTAAAAAATTCTGCAGGCAAGATAAAAATATTTTAATGCAGTATGTAAAAAATCAAAATTATGCAATAAACAAGATACATGATGAACAAATTTGATCTCCGTTATAAATGACACTTTAATAGTACAATCCTTTGGACTGTGTACTACAGGCAAAATAAAACTCCTTGCATGCATAATTCTGCATAGCAAATAGCTCTTATTGCCATCTGAAGAGTGACTGTAGAAAGCTAAAACCCGTGTTCCTATGGGACAAGTGGACTCAATCTTCATTTTTATAATATCAGTGTCTGTGGGGAAACAGAGGCAAAGACAGGGCCCTGGTGTTATTAAAATCTTAAAGACAGGATTGGTTCCTGCACTCGCAGGACTCACTTCACTCACTTCCTCCCTATTCCCAGCCCTGGGAAAGGGTATGAGATAGGAGGAAGTGACCACAAAGTCACGGGGTTGAATCCACTTGTCCAATAGAAACACAGGTTTTGGCTTTTTATAGTCATGCTTCAGATTGTAATAAGAGGTACCTGCTGTGCAGAATTAGGTATGTAGGGAGTTTTATTTCACCTGTAATACACAGCCCGAAGAATTGTACTATTAAAATGTTACTTATAATGGAGATAGAACTTATAATTCTATATCGGCCTCTACTGAGACCAAAACATGCCAAATATAAATGATTTTTAAACCTCTTTTCTTTCTGACGTAACACCAACACTACCTATTGTAAAAAAAGAAGTATTTCCTCATTTGCACTGGCCACTATTATGCATATTAGAAATACACAGTTAACAAAACCTCATGTCTTTCCTCGAGAAGATGAAATGCCAAAAATATATACATCTATTATGCATCAATAAAATATTTTTTAATTAAAAAAAAGATGGATATTAATTAGTCCATGATCGTGGTGGTTTGACAGGTCTATGAGATAAGTACACCAGAGAGAGGGCATGTAAATCAGATGAGGTGTTAGGTTTCATAGAAATGATGGTATTTGAACTAAATCCTGAAGGTCTGGGAGAAATAAGTTAGACAAAGAAGAGAGATGAAGGATGAGGCATTCCAAGGAAGAAATAATACTGAAAACATGAAGGCTTGGAATAGTAGCATGTTTGGGAGGAATTGTGAATACTTTGGTAAGGTTGGGAAGACAGATATGAGACAGAAAACAGTAGGGAATGAAACTGGGGAGAGAAACAGGTGGCAATTCAAATGAGAAACAAGAGATACGTGCATGAGATAATAAACCGGCTTGTATAGAGAGCAGCCATGTTTAATGATATATTCTTAAAACAAAACCCATAATATAGCAGTAGATATTTTGTGCATTTTGACCCTTGAATGAGAAATAAAATACAAGAAAAATGTATTTAGGGCCGGGCATGGTGGCACATGCCTGTAATCCCAGCACTTTTGGAGGCCGAGTTGGGAGGACTGCTTGAGGTCAGGAGTTTGAGACCATCCTGACCAACACGATGAAACCCCGTCTCTACTCAAAAGAAAAAAATTAGTTGACATGGTGGCACACACCTGTAATCCCATATACTCAGGAGGCTGAGGCAGGAGAATCACTTGAACCTGGGAGGCAGAGGCTACAGTAAGCCAAGATCACACCATTGTACTCCAGCCTGGGTGACAGAGCAAGACTTTGTCTCAAAAAAAAAAAGAAAAATGTATTTAATTTTGTTTTTCTTTTTAGAGACAGGGTCTTACACTTTCACCCAGGCTGGTGTATATTAGTGTGATCACAACTCACCGTAACTTCAAACCCAAAACCTAAAGTGATCCTCCTGCCTCAGCCTTCCAAGTAGGTATGCCTATGAGCTCATGCTGCCACACCTGGCTAAATTTTTTAAAAACGTTTTCTAGAGAAAGGATCTTGCTATGCTTCCCTGACTGGTCTCAAATTCTTGGCCCCAAGTGATCCTCCTGCCTCAGCCTCCCAAAACACTGGGATCACAGGCATGAACCACTATGGATGGCCTGGGTTTGATACTCTAAAAAACTTATTATGCTAAAAGTTACTATATGTTAGATGCAGGTGAAGTGATGCTATAGAAATAAGACTTACAAATTATGAAATATTACCCTAGTTGAAGTGAGATAGGCAGACAAAATTTATAAAACTAGTGAGAAAGTTTACTTGCATTAAATAGATTATAGAATCATCACAAAAATCATGCTAAAGAAATTATATTCTCCAATGGTGTGATAGAATATCTTATCAGTAACAACACAATTAACTGGAATGTAATAAAATCTATGGCCACACTGACCTTTTACATCATTTGCTAACTTCTTGGCTTCATTAAGAATCCTGAAGCTTTTCTGAAGAGAGCCTTTGGCATCTTCCTTTAATAAACCCCGAGGACCTGTTGCCTGTGGACAGAAAAATCAAAGTCATACATCTAAAACTGTGAAATAATGGAGTGAAGGGATCCAGAAGGCAGTAGGCACAAAGAGTTTCCCTTTGGGAATGAGTTCTGGGCTGCAGATCCAGAATTGCAAATTATTAGCACATGTTTGGTAGTTACAGTTAGGAGACTGTTTATTACGGTATGAGAAGAAGATCTAGAACAAAGTTCTTGGGAACTTCAGTGTTTAGGGAGTAGGCAGAGAAAGTGGAGCTGACAAGGTGACTGAGAGTCCAGAGAGGAAAAGGAGAAATGAGGAGAGCATGACATTATGGAAATTAAGAGATGCAGAAGTGACTCAACGCATGATGGCTGGCAGTGTTGCAAGGATGTAACTGATCACTATTATCACGTGCTGCAGAGGTCAAGCAAATGAAGAACGAAACACGTCCCCTGACTTTATCCCTAAGCAAATTTCACTCTAGTTGTGGAGGGAGAGGGGAGCATTTCCTGTACCTCCCAAGTGCTGAAATAAGAAAGAACACTGTTCCTTTTAAAAAATGCATCTTAAAGCAGTATGGCAAAACACAATCTTCTAAATGACAATCTCTGAGCCACAATTATCTCCAAGCAAAGATATATTTGTTTAGGCTTAGATTTAAAAAGATGACACAAAGTTAATAGAATGATACGTAAAAGGAATGTTTAACTTCAATGTCTAGTTACCCATTTTAATGGTGTTTGCTCCTTAGCAATTATTACATAATTCATATATGCCAGGAAATAAATCAAATCGGATCTTATGTGTAAATTTTAAATTGAAAAAGCATTGCGAGTGCAAGAAGGGCTGGAGAATGCTAAATACTTACTGTTGAAGATACAAATCTGAACTCAGATGATCACAGACAGAGCACTCATTAAAGGCATCTGCACTGCCTCAGTTACACTATTTTATCAGTCACATTATTTGAACATTAAACTAGAAAAATTACAGAACTTGGTATGGCTGTGGTCAAATTTATTTTAATGTATTATTCTAACAGCTTTCAGGTAAATAATCGATTGCTCATAGAACAGACTCATTGTACAATACTATGACATCTACAAAAAGATATATTGGAAATATCTACATAAATAAAAAGGGGTACTGAAAATAGTTCTTACAAAAGACAACCTTGGCAAATTATTCTCCAGAAAACTAATGAATGTTTTCCACTGGGAAAACAGGAATTCTCGTTGCTACAGTTCCCTTGGGAATTAGATACACTAACATCACATGTGTCATTTATCTTGGAAAAAAAAAAGTGTCAAAATTAATGGCAAAGATACAATGCACTTTAACTCACAAAGTAAGCCTCAGGTTACCCACTCAGATTCTAGATTTATTCCAAATTTACACATTGTTTTTAATCTCTTGCTTATAGGTTTTCCGAATCAAAACAGTTAAGAGACAGGAAATTACAATGAAAGAAAGTGTGACGATTCTCTAAACAGACACGTGAAAACAGTAGAAGTGACAGCTGACAATCTGTCTGACAATGAGCAAAGAGAAGAGAAACTCTAAAAAGTGGAGACAAGAATATTTTAAAGCTCAGGAATCTGAGCCAATTTGAAAAGAGATAAAATGTATAGAGATAAAGTAGGTCTCAGGAGATGCCAACCTTATTGTAGTAAAATAACCAGGGATGATAATACAACCCTGAATCATCAAGATAATATGGGTCATTTATAGTACTAGATAAAACTAGACGAAAAAAGAAAGAAAAGAAAAAAGAAAATAGCTTTCCCCAGAGCCTTGGTGAATGCTTTTTGTAAGAATATGATCTGAGAAGCATTTAAAATCATAATTTTAAAGCTAACCTCAGGTGTGCAAAGTGAGGTACAGGATAAAACTAGAGAGAGAAGGTTGATTTGCTGGGCACAAGAAAATAAAAGGAATAGCATCAGTGGCAAATTGGATATATAAAATGTGGTACATATACACCATGAAATACTATGCAGTCATAAAACGAATGTGATCATGTCCTTTGCAGGAACATGAATTGAGCTGGAGCCCATTATTCTTAGCAAACTAACGCAGAAACAGAAAGTCAAATGCTGCATGTTCTCACTTATAATTGGGAGCTAAACAATGAGAACATATGGAGACAAAGAGGAGAACAACATACACTGGGGCCTGTTTGAGGGTAGATAGTGGGAGGAGGGAGAGAATCAGAGAAATAACTATTGGGTAGCAGGCTTAGTTCATGTGTGCCGAAATCTGTACAACAAACCTCCATGATAAGAGTTTACCTATATAACAAGCCCGCACGTGTACCCTTGAACCTAAAATACAAGTTTCAAAAATTAAAAAATTTTTAAAAATTTTTAAAAAGAAAATGAAGGGAATAGGTGAGAGAGAAAAGAGGAATATGGCCCAAACAACAGCCCAAGAGACTAAAATCCGAGCTGTGGAAATTGTGAAGGGACTATGACTAGAGGTGACCAATACTTTTTAATATTTTTATTGAGGTAAAACTGGCATATATAAACCATGCATACTTAAAATGTACGATTGGATAAGTTTTGAATATGTACACCCATGAGACCATTACCACAACGTTGGTAGAGTATACATCCATTCCTTTTGAATCTCTTCCTTCTATCTTTCCTTCTGTTCCCTCTGGTTGCTTTCCATCACTGTCGGTTTGCACTTCATAGAATCTATATAAACAGAATCATTCTGTATGTACTCTCTTTTTGTCTGACTTCTTTCACTCAACATAGTTTAGACATTATTCTTAGCAAACTAACACAGGAACAGAAAGTCAAATGCTGCATGTTCTAAACTATGTTGTCTAACTATGTCAACATGTTGTCTAAACTATGTTGAGTGAAAGATATAGTTTATCCATGTTGTGTGTGTATCCATATTTGGTCCTTTTGATTGGTAAGTAGTATTTCATTGGATACATACACATCTGTACAATTTTTTGGGTGAACATACACCATCATTTATCTTGGAGTGAATACATACAAGCAGAATGCTTGGATCATACAGTAACTTATGTTTGCATTTTAAAGAAATTATCAACCTGTTTTCTAAAGTTTATGCAGTATTTATATTGCCACCATCAGTGTATGAAGTTCCATTGTCTACACCTTTGTTGATACTTGGTATAACCTGTCTTTTAAAATTTTAGACATTCTAATTGGTTATCGTTTTGGTTTTATTTTGTGTTTTCCTTATGACTAATAACGTTGAGCTTGCCCATATCTTTGTGAATATTCAGGGTAGCCTGTCTTTTAAAATTTTAGACATTATAATTGGTCATCATTTTGATTTTGCTTTGTGTTTTCCTTATGACTAATAACACTGAGCATCTTTTCACAAGCTTATTTTCCACCTTCTTCGGTGGCGTATTTGTTTTATTCATTTATTTATTTACTTACTTTTTAATTGTACTTTAGGTTCTGGGGTACATGTGCAGATCATGCAGTATTGTTGCATAGGTACACACATGGCAATGTGGTTTGCTGCCTCCATCCCCCCATCACCTACATCTGGCATTTCTCCCCATGTTATTCTTCCCTGATCTCCCCCCCCGCTGTCCCTCCCTTAGCCGCCCAACAGACCCCAGTGTGTGATGCTTCCCTCCCTGAGTCCATGTGTGCTCATTGTTCATCACCCGCCTATGAGTGAGAACATGTGGTGTTTGATTTTCTATTCTTGTGTCATTTTGCTGAAAATAATGGTTTCCAGATTCATCCATGTTCCTGCAAAGGACACAAATTCATCATTTTTTATGGCTGCATAGTATTCCATGGTGTATATGTGCCACATTTTCCTTGTCTAGTCTACCATCGAAGGGCCTTTGGGTTGGTTCCAGGTCTTTGCTATTGTAAACAGTGCTGTTATGAACATATGTGACCATGTGTCTTTATAATAGAATGATTTATAATCCTTTGGGTATATACCCAGTAATGGGATTGCTGAGTCAAATGGAATTTTTATTTCTAGGTCCTTGAGTAAGCGCCACACTATCTTCCACAATGGTTGAACTAATTTACACTCCCACCAACAAAGTAAAAGTGTTCCTATTTCTCCACATCCTCTCCAGCATCTGTTTCCAGATTTTTTAATGATCACCATTCTAACTGGTATGAGGTGGTATCTCAATGTGGTTTTGACTTGCATTTTTCTAGTAGTCAGTGATGATGAGTATTTCTTGTTATGTTTGTTGACCTCATATATATCTTCTTCTGAAAAGCGTCTGTTCATATCCTTTGCCCACTTTTGGATGGGTTTGCTTGCTTGTTTTTTTTTCTTGTAAATCTGTTTTAGTTCTTTGTAGATTCTAGATATTAGCACTTTGTCAGATGGGTAGATTGCAAAAATTTTTACCCATTCTGTTGGTTTCCGGTTCACTCTAATGATTGTTTCTTTTGCTGTGCAGAAGCTCTGGAGTTGAATTACGTCCCATTTGTCTATTTTGGCTTTTGTTGCCAATGCTTTTGGTGTTTTAGTCATTAAGTCCTTGACTATGCCTATGTCCTGAATGGTTTCGCCTAGGTTTTCTTACAGGATTTTTATGGTGTTAGGTCTTATGTGTAAGTCCTTAATCCATCTGAAGTTAATTTTAGTGTAAGGTGTGAGGAAGGGGTCCAGTTTTTCTGCACACTGCTAGCCAGTTTTCCCAACACTGTTGGCATTGCCTCCAGGGCCTCTGTTCTGTTCTATTGGTCTATATCTCTGTTTTGGTACCAGAACTGTGCTGTTTAAATTACTGTAGCCTTGTAGTATAGTTTGAAATAAGATAGTGTGATGCCTCTGGCTTTGTTCTTTTTACTTAAGATTGTCTTGGCTATGTGGGCTCTCTTTTGGATCCATATGAAGTTTAAGGTGGTTTTTTTCCAGTTCTGTGAAGAAGGTCATTGGTAGCTTGATGGGGATAGCATTGAATCTATAAATTACTTTGGGCAGTATGGCCATTTTCATGATATTGATTCTTTCTAACCATGAGCATGGGATGTTTCTCCATTTGT